CTCAGAAATCTGTCGGATTTTCAGGAGCTCTACCAGATCAACAAACCGCCAAAGCTGCATCGTCGAGCCAGGTGCTCCATGGAGGCGTCGATGGCGAAACACTTGTGACTGTGCAGATGAGCGAGGAAGCCAGGAATTGCGGTGAACGTTTGCACGGGTCATTAAGCAGACCCGAAAGACATAGGGGGCCGTACTGTGTAAACAGGCAACGGATTTTGCAAGGTAGCGTTACGAGCAGGGATTGAGTGTGGAATGAAGAACGGGACAGTGGCTGGCGACATCATCGTTGAGGCACTTGCGTTCTACAGTACTCTTACACAATACAGTCTCGCGCCAGCAAGTTCGCATTGCCCTTGAGCGAGTAAGGAGCACCGGGCCTGGGTGTGATGCGAGCGCTGCTACTCGTACAAGCGGATCATGATTCGACACCCCCGATATCGTCTTTCCTCATCTTGAATCACGCCAAGTGTCAACTGCTGTTCGCATCCTAGCGAAGTGGTACATCTCCCCGTCAAACAGCTGAGGGATGACCTGTGACGGGTGAATGAATGTACCGTGAACTGGAAATGGCGCGTCAGCCACATGAAGCCAGGCTTGCACAATGTTCATTTTGAGATATTTCTTGAAAGCTGCCATGGTGTAAATCCCAGAACGTCTGCAGATCGGCAGACTGACGTGGAGTGATTTGAGGCCTATCTCACACTTACGTGAAAGGCTTCGAAGGGTGCTGGTTCACACGGGGTTTATTCACTGACAACCCCTGGATGGACAAAATTGTACGGAGTACTCGCATCTGAAATCGCAGAGAGGAAGCAGACCGTGCACATCTTGAGCCTGGAGGCGCTGCTGATCGTGAATTTGGTGTGCCTGGTCGACTTCGCTTGCCGAACTCCGTGGCGTGATCGGTGGTGTAATACGAGTTACAGGGTAGCTTGTGGAGACTAATGCTGGGCCTTTTCGTCGACCGGCCAGTCATCGACACAGGGATGTGTTGAGATGCTGTACTGTTACGAGCAGGGGCGGGTCTCGTCGGCTATCGACGTATTTCGTACATACTGTTGGATGGCTAAAAGTTTCCTCACTGATCACCCACAGATACATGCATTGGCTAGTTACTTGGACAGGCATGATTGTAGCTGAAACCTGCCCTGGGTTTCCGCATGAGCGATGGCAGCAGTCGCATATCCGAAGTCACTATGTGGCCCTTGCCATATAGAGTGCGCGCCGGGCAATCATGAGGACTGGCGCTTAATCGCACAAGGGTCGCGTGAATGGTCTAAAGTGGCGAACCGTAGACAGCTTTTGAGATGCCGAGCACTCCATGCTTCCCTCTGTGGTCCCCTGGTGTTCGAAGTACCGGGCTAGAACAGAATGCTCTCCAGTCTTATCAGTAGATCTGCAAACCTTCCAAGCTGTGCGAGTACTGGGGGACCATCGAAGCAGTCGTACGAGTTCAGCTTGCTTTGCATCCATAGAGACTTTGGTGACATCATGACAGTGACAGGCATCATCAAGACAATCCCAAGACTGTCCGGTGGCGAGCGGCGTGTCCTCGATGTACTTGCACACAGTACGAGCACACGCGTCTTATCTCCGCAAGATTACGGGCTCGCTTTCAAAAGACCCGGGGGTGTGTTTGCTCGGCAAAACTCCTCGCGTTGTACCCGTCACGGGCAGCAACGATGGGAAGATCCAACTGCACATGATGGCATTTGGGCGTCGCGGTCGCCGGTGCATCTGGGCAATCTTCAGCCTAGATTGGAAGCCGGGAATGTCTCCATCCACGTGGCCGGACCCAGCAGAGCCACCCTGGGATGGGCTTGCTCTTTGGAGCGCGACACCCTGACTTGGCCGGAATGGTGCAAGTTTGAGTTTGGGCCATGGTCAACTTGCAGATGAACGGGGAGGATCTCAGCTGTGTATGGGCAGCAGCCGAGCAGCCGCCCACAACAGTGCCTGACAGGTGTCCGGAGGCGCTTTCCGTGGCGAATCTAGACTGCCGCGACTGCCCATGAGCGCCCTTGGAGGAGAGGACGATCATCCAGAGCCCAGGGAGCCAGGGCTGTGAGGGCCTCAGTCGACCACTGGCCACTAACCACTGGGTACTCCGTACAATACGTAGCAAGGACTCCGCAGCTCCGCAGGCAAGCCTCACCACACCGCCACAATTCCGCCGCCCACTGTTTCCCTGCTTGTTCATTATTCCTGCACTTTGCTTCCAGCCAGAGCGTTCCACCCATCTTGGTTGCCGGATACGAGGAGCATTGACCTTTTGTCGTTTCTACTCCGCTCAGATCGCGTTTAGACTAGATAGGTCGTTATGCCTGTCTTGGAAATGATGATCGTCTCTGCAAGCGAGAAGTCAGAGCGAAGACAGTACTCGTACCACTTCACCTCGTCCTCACAACCAAGCCACTGACGAGGCGCCTCTAGACGCTGAGTCCAATTCTCACCAACCATTTGCGTCTCCATTCCGCCCGCAGGTGGATCAATGTCCCTGCAGGTTCATGAAATCATGTTCGAAGTCCACGCGGTCGCGCGGGCTACCGTTCGGTAAAGTCATGCTGACAAAACACCCAACAGACCGGAGGCGTTTTGGTGACGTGGGTGGAATCGCTGCTGCTGGACTGAACAGCACTTGCGCGCTTCTCCCTGCAAACGAGCATTTCTCGTCCAATCTCGGCTCCGGCCTTAACGCCTCGCCCCCAATACCGGGACCTGGAGCTCGCTCTAAGAGTGGCGTACCTACAGTAAGAGCAACGTTGTAACGGGAGGGGATGTGTGAGTCGCTTAGAGGCTGAATGGTATTTTTGGACATGGCGCTTTGTGTGCGATCCACTTGCCTCGCGCTAACTGGGGCGCTTCATACGTCGGTTCAGGGCGTACTCGTAGCAGAAAGACCTTCTGTCAATACGGAGCACGTACGCTTGACCTCCACACTACCCTGTACAGTACCATACTCAGCCATACTTTGATAGCCGCCTGAAAGACCGCGGTCGAGGACACTCACTCCCATCAAGCCACTGCGCCGCTCTTCCAGTGGCGCTAGCGTGATGATCAGCCAACTTGACCCCGGGCAGCAGTGAAGCGCGTCTCTAAGATCTGGGCAGCTCAGGCATTCATCCGTTACAGCCGGTGGCTTGCATTGGAGATATCTGACAATTCTCCTTGGCCTTGACGACTACCCCACAAGACCTCAGGTTGTCCCTTTTGGGCACCTGGCCATGACGAGGCGACGATCTTCCTGTCCCTCGGCGTTGACGACTGGGTGCAACACTCGGCCAGTAATAGACCTAAGAACGGACCATTAAGTTCCATATACTGACTGTCTAGACGTCTAGATTCTGAGCCGTTCAAATTCTCACGCGTGTTTCGTAATCTCTAACTGAATCATTCCGGCCCTTCAGAAGACACGATACCAGGCAGATACCCTTGGACGCAGATCGTTCCTGGAAACGTCTCCCTCTTGCAGCATTGTCGGATTGTCGGGTCTCCAGGCGCTAGGTTCCGAAGGAACATTGTGGACTAGTCTCAGGTGCCGTTCGTTGGGGGACAACCCGTCCAGAACCACAGGCTAAATAGTGGGCTTCTTCACGGACAGGGCCTTTCCCAAACAGGGGTTGATCTGTACCGAGCTTTCGAGAGGGAAGTCAAATTGAGCCAGGGCCAGCCACACGGTCAGAGACACTTGTGCCTGCCAGATCTTGTACCTCGTATGGCTATGGTCTGAATCTGTTCTGGGCCCCCTCCCAGGTGCTGAGAATCGAGGTGTAGCTTTTCCACTCGGGGCGGCGTGACAACGTCTCTCTCGCGATCGAAGTCCCAGAAACTTCAGCTACCCGAGTCATTGCTCCAAGAAGACCGAAGCCCAGGGCATAGAACTTCTTCAGGCGCTGGCGGAGGCCATTTCCTTGACTCACCGTGATGTCCGGGATTCTATGTGCCTGCTCCCCTCGGTCCCCCGTCGGCGTCTCCTGCAAGCATTCCTGTAAACTCCCGAAGAGGCGAATAGTGCGAGGTGATGCACCCTGTAGTTGTCCAAGAGGCACCACTCTTTCGTGGCATCGATGTCCAGCAGGGAAGAGCTGAGCCCAATGACTATGCAAGATCCAATCCACTACCTCTTCCGCGTGTCATTTGGAGACTCTATACCATCTCCTCCACCGTTAAGGCGCTTGTCACTCTCGTTGATTCGTCTCTCGCAGATGCCCGAGACTTTTGCCCTTCGGAGACGATCCAGGTGGGATGGACCTAGTGCTGGCGAACCTTAGCTTCAGACCCTACCACCGGTTGCCATGCCCTAGTCAAGCAGCAAAGTGTATTCCGATCTTCCCCCAATACACAGCCATCTGATATTGGAGTTGGCTGTCTCTGCTCATTCCTCTCCATTTTCTGTCCAGATCGATCACACGCCTAGCGAATTCTTTCTCGTCATCTTATCGACCGCGACTTCCACTACCCGTACATTCAGTGTCTTTGATTGCGAACACACCGACCGCATAACCACGGATGAGCGACGGTCTGGGACTTTCGACCACAACCCCAGCTTCTAGACCTCTTCCCCCAACCCATTTCGCGGTCCTTCAAAATATTGGGAACAGGATAGCGACTGCCCCGACGTTGGCTCTATCGCCTGTGGCTCCCCGGAGCGGTGGTTGGGCCACGTACCTTGAACTATTGTCGGCGAGGCTGACCGCAAGTTTGCAAAAAGATAGCGCCCACATCATCGACTGACCTGGATCACATGGCGTCAACCGGCAACTCGAATCATACCTTTCAACACCAGTGATGTTGCTAATGTACCCGGCCGAAAAGCTCGATTGGTACTGTGGCGGACGAGGAGTCCACCAAGAAGCATTCTGTTCACGCCGTCCCATGTTCGCGAATCGAGTATCTGTCAGCCTAAAGAGATGACAGAGGGTGTAGATAACCCCGGCGAATCTGCTGAGGCAAGCGGCCCCGTGCAAAGTCAGATCGGCCAGGGGGGCAGGCAGCCAAACATGCCTGGTCTCGTCCAAAGTGGCCGCTCCTCGCCGAATATGCACAACATCGCCAGCGAGGGGCCAGCTCTGTCACCCGCCGACAAGAAAAGGAACAGATTAGGATACCAACGAACTGCGGTCGCATGCGGTCAGTTCTCTTTCCCGACGTCACCCAAAGCGACTTCTCTGACCACGCACAGGCCACTGTCGGCGGCGCAAGATCCGCTGCGTGCCTGCTTTCAACGACACGAGCGGTCGCTGCCAGAACTGTAGTCGGCTCAAGAAAGATTGTCAGTTCTTCCCTGTCGACTTACCGGGTTCGGCGCCCCCGAAGCGTGTGCGCAAGCCGACAAACACCTCTGAAGCCTTCAACAACGAGGGAGACGCCTCGGTCGCCTCATCCTCTCCAGGTGGCATCCTCAGGAGCACCTCGGTGGAACACTTGAACGATGTAGATGATCCCTTGGACACTCACCTGTCGAGGGAAAGTCCCGGGCTCCACGGGTTCGACCCTTCTCTACCAATGTCTCTTCAGGGTATGGTCGTGAGAAGCGTTGCGTGTTCAGCTGCTGATTCTGCCCAGGATCCAACTTTCCAAACTCTTACGATTCTAGCCACCAACAACACCACCAGCGCCAACAGATGCTCATTCAATCTTCATACTCGCCTCGACCCTACGCCCAAGACCCTATGAATCCTCAATTCTATCAGCAGCAGCAGTATGGGCATTCTTTGCCGTCGCAATATTCTTCAGCATTCAACCCCGGGCATTTGCCTTCGCCCATGGGGACCATCGCGCATGAACCAACCTACGAATATCAGACACCAGTGTCAAATCCTCCCTACGACTGGGGTCAGCCGACGCGGTCTCTGTCGTCTGACACAGGCGAAGAGTTGTCATCCGGCTTCGCAACGCCTTATCGAACCAACACATTCCCTTTCTTCGAGAAAAGAATGACGAACCAAACACTGCAGTTTGCCCCATCGAGCTCGAGTTTGGCGCATCCTGGCATGGAGGGTCAGTCGAATGCGACGCTCGGTGATTTTCGCGAAGACAACCCCTACCAGCCCATGCAAATGAGAGTACAACAGGAGTGGGGAGGAGGCGGTCCCGACCCAGCGCGACAGAACTCTGCGCCTGGCGTTGGCATGTATCCTCAGGCCTGGTATCCGCCGCATCCGAACATGGAAGGAATGAGACAGGATGAAGGCCAGCCTCAAATCCTGCCATCGCAGAACCACAACGCAAGAGGAAGTCAGCATAAGCCCTCTGGCTGAGCTGTCGAAATTTGTGTGCGAATTCGCCTTCCAACTCCGGAAGAAACAGCTCGAGCCGGCTCCTCCGTGTATACATGACACCATCAAATCACGGATGGCCCCCTGTGACTCAGCGATCTCGGACGGTCGGGTTGTGGCATCAAGGGCTTGGACCTGACAGTAAGATTGAGGCCGATCGAAAGCTTCCTACGCCTCGACTGTGTTGGCCACCGAGGCAGAAAGCGTGAGTCTCGGAAACAAGGCTGCCTGGAGCGATGGAAATATTCGGACCATCATCCGATCTTGTGATCCGCTTGTGAAAGGGCAATCTGGTGACCACCTCGCGACCGAGCCGCCGAAGACGTTAGAACGAACCATTGCCGAAAGTACGAGTGAAGAGCAGTACACCCAACCACCGTTCAGATTTGGATCATACGCAGGCATGGCGAGGCGTCGGGCTCCCTCACCAGGCAGCACGGCAAATTGCAAAGGACAATGTCTCAAGATGGCCAACAGCGCATGGTATTTTCTGCGACAGCAAGCATGTGGCGTCCCGCCCCTGCGACCTTTCACACGACTGCCTCGCCTATCTCGTCAGCTTTTGAACGTCTCCAGTCCAGCATCTTCAAAGACGAGCAATCGAATTGTCATTCGGGGCGCTTTCAACGGTCCGTCGATCTGGGCTACGTGTTTTTGGCTCGACAGCCCTGCGCAAAATCCAGACTCCGAGTGCTTCCCGAGGATGTAAATTCAAACTCTCACCAACGACCGAGTACCATGCCATGCGTACCACCAGATGTGTCAGAAAACGACCGGGGTATACCAGTTCAGCCGCTGTGGCGAAGAGGACGGAAGGATCTGGCGCAGAGCACAGTTTCGGTGAGATCTAGGACTGTAACGACTGCGCTACGGCATCAGCCGATCACGGCTTGCCCTCGTAGAAGCCATTCAGCCTTCGACGGCCGCTACCTCGAGATTGTGTTGTCCAACAACCCGGCCACCAACAATTTCCGTTCGATGCAGCGTCAAGGCCTGCAATGCCTCTTGCGGGCAGTGATAAGTCTGGTTGCCGAGACAAGCAAGCGCACTCTGTCGAGGAAAACAAGTGTCGTCTGCGAGAACGATCTGGACAAAATAGGGCTGTACACGAGGATGTGGATTGTCGGCTCGCATGCTACACGCCTAGAAATCAGAAGCCCATTGGTGTGACACTTCTGTCGGATCTGCACCAGTCCAATTCGGGCACTTCCAGGCTACTCACTATGGGGGAAGATGTGGACAGAGTGCGTGGGAAGCAAAGGCAACAATATCGACATGGCCTGTTGGGGTGCAATATGGGATGAAACTCGAGGGTGGACTGCCAGGGGTTGGTCGGTGGTGACGCTGCTGCTCCCACACGAGGCTGGATGTCATCTTCTGAGCCGCAATGCGCATGTCACCTCGTGCAAGAGGTTCGAGAGGAATGATGGTGACACCAGACACGAATTAATCCAGTCGATCTGCTAGTCACCATGTTGGTGCGACTGATGCGACTGACTGACTAATGCATGATCTAATCAATGCACGTGATTCCCTGCCTCTTCTCTGGCGTCTGTAGCTGATTCGTGCCTCACTCATCCTTCAGCTTCTGCGACTCGAGTTCTTTTTGCTTTGCTGACGGTCTCAAGATACCGAACACGACTCAATAGTGTATGGCGCAACAATGCTAATGCCTTGGGCCGGCTGGGTGCTGAATGTGTCTTGGGCGACTTTGCGCGGTCTTCAGACTAAGCTCACCATGAACTGAGTGGGACGTTCGTCTCTGGCCGGGCGACTGTGAAAGTCCCTCATGCAAACGACTCTGACGCGCTCTTCAAAGCGCCATCAAAGCTACTTCCCAGAATGGCCGACAACTCGGAAAGAAAACAGGCTACAGAGTTGGCTGAGAACCTAGTTGAACTTGACATTGAGCCACCTGACATGAGTCCATCTTCAGTGAAGAGATCTCCTTTAAGTCTGCTACAGTACTGATACCGGCAGAAGTCACCGAGCATTGGCTGTTTACATCTACCATGGGCCACAGTGTCACGCTGCAAGAAGGGATGCCAACCACTAAATCGAACGTGAACCCACGGTAAGGACACTGTCGAGAGTCGGGAGGCATTGTCAGGCCGAGCAGTGCTACTACAGGAAGTGGATATGAAAGTCTGGATGCGACATCAACAGACTGCCAGGGCAGACTCCGTGTCGTCAGTCGTGCCGTAAGTCTCAAGGGAGTCGACTTTCGTCCAAAGTCAGATTGGACAGCCGTTATATAATCTATTTAAACCCACAAGTTGTAACACGCAATCAGCTTTCGAATGCTCCGAGTCCCAGGACACTTTCTTTGTTACCGATGCCGACGGCGATGATGAGTCAGTCGGCTTCATTGAGCTGTCCCCTGCGCTGGAAGGCAATACGTGCTATGCATGCTTCATGGATGAGACTCGGCGTGGATCGCTATCAAGAGCAGCTGCGAGCCGGGACACACGCCGAACAGAGCACTTCGACTGGATGGTTATCCTCCATCGACGGAAAGTATCCGCTCGTGCCAGAGATAGGCATTTGCGATGAAAGTACATTGAAGCGTGGATCGGACACAGGACGTGCTGGGCGGAACAAATACGAAACAAGCCGTGTAGCAGGAAGTTACTGCTTCACTGAGCTGAAGGCTTTTCAACACCCGAACGCCAAAGCCAAGGGGGGATCACAACAGAAAAGTAATCCGTCGCCAGAACCATCCATGAATGTCCCATCCCACCCTACGCAGTCGACAAGATTGACGCCACCAGCATTCACATACTTACACCTCTCTCGCGTCTCACACTGCCTTTCCGACCAATTTGTCGAGCGTCATGGCCGTTATGCCGAGTTCAACCTGGCACCCCATACAAAGCTCGGAACGCTCACTCCACGTAGGCCTCTCGGTGTGGTCATTAGCCCAGCATCGCACGCACTTGGCACGTCGCGAGAGCAGTCCCCTTGGTAAAGACACAGGCGCCCTTCCGTCCTGCTGCTGCTGGTCATCTTCGACCCCGACCCTCGGATCGAGACCAGCCACATTCCCACCCCCAGGAACCGCCAGGCCCTGTGGCCAACACGCCATCGAACAGACGCGTTCCCGCCGGAACAGGGGGTCGGCCCTCCGATTCAGGCCGCCGCAGAGCCGACAAATGACCACGCATTGGGCCCCGCGTCCAGCGGCACTGCCTCGCGCCCAGATCCCCTTGCCCCAGCCACAGTCGATGCAGAACCGCTTGGCGTGTTCCTTGTGCCCCAGGCTCCGAAGGCCCTTCATCTGCCCGGCGTGGAACTCACTGCACGGGAGCGTGCGGAGGCAGGCGTAGCAATTGAGCCGCTCCGCCCGCGTGATCCGATTGTTGTGCAAGTTGGTCATGCCCTCGTTGGGCGGGCCGCCGGGCCCGGCGGACGCAGGGAACAACGCCGCCCAGGTGTGTGCGTTCTGCCAGATTTCCCCACGGCGTTCCTCGTCGGCCCTCTCGGCGGCCAGGAGGGATGCCTTGAGCGTGGCGCGCTTGACGCACAGGCCCTTCTCGAAGGGGATCAGCTCACGCGCGGACCTGCATGTTAATCGGAAGGATACAGCGTCGTGGTACTCTAGCTGGGATGTGATCTGGCTGGTCAGTTCGGCGGGGAGACCAAACAATGTCGTGGACTGGGTGTGGGCGTGAGTGTGGGCGTGAGTGTGAGCGGCGGTGTCACACTGATCTGCCACCACCAGTACTTGGGTCGTGTTCGTGTCGGGTGCTGGCTGGTGGGGATGGGGGTGTTCAAGAGACCTGGGCTCCCTCAGCATGTTGGAGGATGAGGTGGCCAGGAACGCGATGGTCGCCCTGAACGGTAGACCGATGCGGTGGTCGGGCTCCGGAGATTCAGTGATGACTTCTTCTCGTGCCAGAAGTCGCGGCGGAGTGGTTTTGGTCGTGGCGTCGGACCTCGCTCTGCAGGATACAGGATAGTCGATTTGTGTTTTTGAAGAGCCGAGTTCTGAAACATCCACGTCCCGTGGATTTGGGATCAGCCGAATGTAGTCATTCATTCATGAATTCATTCATTCACCGCGCGGTACTGAGGTACGTAGGCTGCTAGTGGCCAAACCGAGTGCAGATTGCAAATTGCAGATTGCAGTACGGAATGAGTCGTCGTCGTCTCTCCTCTGATAGTGTGCCCGGACTGTGCGGAAAGTGGGGCCATCAATATCGCAGCGTGAGATGAGCTATAAGAACATATAGTATCTAACTCGAAAACCCCATGTGACTAGTGAGTCTTTCATGGGTTGAGCTCTAAGAGGCAACGGCAGTGAGGTGCCGGCCTCACGGTCATGGTCGGGGCGGGGGGAAATCCTTGGCCCGCGATTCATCGGCATGACTCGCCTCGACTCGACTCGAGGCTTTGCACCCCCCCCCTTTCCGCCGGGGTTCAGGACCCATAGGCGTTGGCGGCGATGTGGCGATGTGACGATTGAAACGACCGTCAGGCATCGCAATCTCAGGATCCTTGACGCGTGTTCACGCTCGGCGATTGTCGTCAATGCGTGACCTGACTTCCGCTGTCTCGAAGGTGGCTTCGGGGAGCATGGGGAGTAGGGAGTATCATCAAGGAGTGAGTTGGACAAACGGAATGATTGGAGATTGACTGAAGGAGGCTGTGTGATATCTGGTCCCCATATACCATCATACAGTTATAGAACCACACAAACAAACGAGTAACTGTCTCACTTGTCATGGTAGGCATGCATGTTTGATATTGGGATACGAGTAACAAATCTGCAATCTGCATTCTGCCACTTGCCGCTTTGCTTCAGGACTCACACAAACTAATCTACTCCGCCTATTTGGCCTGGGTCTGGCCTGCGGCCTTTGTGGCGGAGTGGTTGACGACCCAGTTGTCGGTGTCCTCGACTTCATTCAGTCCCCAAGCCGTGCTGCTGTCGTCATGCACGGTGGTCCTCCGCAGATCTCGCTTGTACTTGCCCTCGAATGCCCCGCCATTGGCGCGGTGCAGAGTACATCTGTTGTCCCAGATGATCATATCCGACGGGTTCTTCCACTCCACGCTGGTGGTGTACTTTTTCTGCGTCACATGGGCGAGCAGCTTCTTGATCAGCGTGTCCGACTCCTCCTTTGGCAAACCCTCGATGGAATGGGAGTGCGCGGCGATGTAGATGTTCCGTCGCCCGCTGGGTTCGTGGATCTGGATGAGTTGGTGCCGGGCCATCACGCCGCCGTTGGTCGGATCGAGGTCCTTGAAGAATTCCGGGGAGCCCAGCTTTCGCGACTGCGCGATCGAGTGGTTGACGATGTAGTCCTTCTCGAGGAGTTCCTTCTGGAACTCGGGGTCCAGCTCATCCCAGGCGGTGCGGGAGTCCGCAAAGTCGGTGTTGCCGCCGTTGCCGGGTGGAGGGATGTGGACCGCGCGGAGGAGCGAGAAACTCGCGCGTCGAGGATTGAAGGAAGAGTCGACGTGGAACAAAGCATTTCCCTGAAGCGGATCATCAGCCTCCTCTCGCAAGGCATCTCAGAAATGGACTAAAAGTTGACCGTCCTACCTTCCCGTAGTGTGCTCGCGGGCTGTTGGGGTCTAGCACGCCGCCTTGGTCGTCGATATTTCCTGCGTCGAACAGTTCGTAGTGCCCGTATCTCGGTTTGCGACCGTCAGTCATGTACCGTCTCATTGTGTCCAAATCGCCAATCCGCTTGGAGAATGCAATATGCGCTTCATCGTCGAGACCAGTGTTGCGGAATATGCAGACGCCGTACTGTTGTCAGGGGTCAGCAATGCCAGTGCTAAACGGAGCCAACATCACACAGTAGACCACCAAATGCTTCAGACGCATTGGCAAAACCCGATCCCAGGGGCTTGGTGCCTACCTTAGCCATGGCGGCAAAAATCTCTTGAAACTGTTCATCGGACAAGTCCTGGAAGTTGACACCCTCGACCTCGGCTGCAAAGGTAGGATGAAGTTTCTTGATGGTAAGAGTCTTGAACTCTGGCTCTTCAGAATAACTGCCCATTGTGATTTCGGGTCTGGGTTGGTGCTTCTGATCACAATCTCTCCGTGAAGTCAGATGATTCCCCTGAGCTGATCTTGTCAATTCGGCTTTTCCGTCAGAATTGTTTGATGTGAGAGATCGATTTCGAGTTATCTCAGTGACACGCAGTACAATGTTCTAGGACCGAGACTCTCATGGCGTGGTCAAGCACTGCCTTTTGTGCTTAGCTAAAGAGATGGGGCTCCGTCGTGCCACCTACGAGCGTGGGGCGCGAATGTGGAGGACCAGGTTCCTGGCTCTACCCCAGTAAGCGCAGCACGGACCTCAGAACCCTGCAAGCAACGTGAACACCACCGGGATGGTCTGGCTCAACTGCTGGTAGGGCAGCGGATGAACAGCACGCCGCAGCCGCGTTAGCCGGAGTGTCGCGGGGCAATTGGGCTGCAATCATGGTATGCGGCCTCGAGAGCAGCATCCCTCGAAGGTGTGGGAGTTTGGAGACCTGGGGAAACTTGGGGGTGGAGAGGAAATGTTCGCTTGGCATCACGCTGCTCTTCTCTGGACTATAACCCCTAGCCCACCTCCCACAGTAGCGTGTAGAGGACTACTGTGTTATGCGTGGAGTGCTGTCCGCTCTCAGTTCTCTGGCGTCAGAGTCTTGGCCATGGTTGATGCACACACTAGGCTAGCTTGGGGAGTGTAACTTTCTTAGCAATTGCTATGTGGCGCCTGAGAGGATTTGAGTGCCGATATATTCCGTCCGGTCGTGCGATTTTTGATCTTCTGGTCTCTTGGCTGGTTCGATACACAAGGATCGTGCCGATCACAAGAAGCCACATGCTGTCAAGCATTTCGGACCTCGGCGTCTTCGAGCACTGACTCGGCGCCGAGAGCGACGTCGAAGTACCCGTCAAGGTTCTCGGCCGAGGCTTGCCATTTCCACGCGGTATCGGCAGGAACACGGAGCTTGACGAGGTTGTGAGCTAAGAATACTTCAAGATCTCGGCGTCTCTGGAGATCACTGATATTATGCGGACGGGGATCTCCTCACACGGCGCTTGGGAGTGGAGGCATACTCCTCGGAATCTGTTATGCTTTCAACGTCGCCTATCGAGGCCTCGAAGCACGTCGAGACCAATTCTTGCCGGAATTCTAGAGCTGTTGAGAGGGGCCCGAGGGATTGTAACGCGTGAAGCAAGACATATCGCTCGGCAAACCTGCCGTGACTTGAAGATGCCCGGGTTTCTCCACTTTATTCATCGCAGTCTCACAGTCCTCTCACTTTTGCGTCGGCTGCAGAACATACTTAGCTAGGTACTTTGGACCATGGAGACCTTGAGCGATGAGCTGTGGGATCTGGTGATCGCCGGAACCAGCATCCCACAGTCCCTTTTGGCCTTGTGGGTTCCCTCCAACCTTCGTCAACCAGACCCTCTCGACTGACTGACCAAGCTATCTTGTTTAGGTCACTCTCGCGTTCGGGCAAGAAGATCCTGCATGTTGACCGCCGCAGCTATTACGGTGGGGACGATGCCGGTTTGAGTCTGCAAGACGCAGAAAACTGGGTGCAGGAGTTGCGAAACTGTGAGCGATTCTCGCTTGTAGTTTTCCTGCCAGACCTCACTGACCTTCCTACAGCCACGAGCACAGTCTACAAAGATGCCTCCATCATCAAAGCCGCAGTGGAGACGTCGCCCTCAGCCACATCACTGGGACCTTCACGAGCGTACACCTTGAGTTTGAATCCTCAGATCATATACGCAAAATCCGAGTTCCTTCCCACCCTGGTCTCGTCACGGATCCATACCCAACTGGAGTTCCTCGCCGTTGGATCATGGTGGGTCCTGCGCAATGGACACTTGCACAAGATTCCGAGCACGCGCGAGGACGTGTTCAACGACGAGTCACTGTCGATGAAGGACAAGCGGGGCCTAATGAAATTCCTGCGATACGTGCTTCAAGAAGAGGAGGAGGGAGCATCAAGCTTGGAGGAGGACGACACCGGCATATCACTCAAGGCAGCCATATCAAACAAGTTCAAGATTCCAGTGTCGCTACAGTCGCCTCTACTGGCACTCGCACTGTCTCCTGTCAACGCTGATTCCATGCCCTTCAACAAGGCGCTGGCAAGGATCAGAAGACACTTGAGATCCATGGGCTACTTCGGCCAAGGTTTTGGGGCTGTGATACCAAAGTACGGGGGCAGCTCAGAGATCTCACAGGTGGCCTGCAGAGCCCAAGCTGTGGGTGGAGGAGTCTACCTATTGGGTTACGGAGTGCAAAGCCTGGAAACCCCTCTTCAGAACGAGGAGGACGCTACACCGGTCCAAATCTGTCTTTCCGACGGCACGCGAGTTCGGTCTCGCTACGTGGCTGGCAGTCTAGACGATATCCCATCAATAACTGATTCCTCGACGAATCAGCAATTGTCCAGCACGACTTGGAGATCCATCAATGTGGTCGCCAATCCGCTGAGTTCACTTTTCCCTCCAACCTCTGAGAATGGGCCTAGTCCTGCGGTCGCAATAGTCCTCATCGAGGATGGCCTCAGCAACAATCCCATATATCTTCAGGTTCATTCAGAGGACACCGGGGAGTGCCCGGCAGGTCAATGTGAGTACAACAGCCCGTTAATCAACCCCCTTTCTCATGATGATCCAAAAATCGAATACTTATCTACATTGCCTGAGCACTCTGTGCTTTGCTGATAATCATCCTCTGACAACCTGATGGATCCACAATTGTCCTGATCTGCTCGAAGCCGTGAATGCGATGGGTTTTGGCTGATATGTCTGCTTCTAGGTATTGTGTATGCTTCCACGGTGTCCGAAGATGACTCTGCCGAAAGCCGACTTGAAGCCGCGGTATCGGCATTCCTTGAAACTGCTCATGCGAAAGATGCAGTCCTTTGGTCCGTGTCGTATCGGAAAAGCGAGCCCGCTGTCGAAGCGACTCCCAGACCTCCAGCACTACAGAAGAGTTCGCCACAGGTGTTGGTGTTTGCCGCGAGGGAGCACGACATTGCGTTTGATGACAGTGTGCTCGAGGCTGTTCGAAAAGCCTGGGAGTGTGTTCTGGGCGAAGCCACCGCTGCCGAAAGCTCATTTCTGAGATTCGAAGAACGAGAGGTTGAAGTCGAAGACTAAATGGTCCTCGTCTGGCGACCTCTTGCTTTGCGATCCCCAAAAATCATCTGCCTCGGCGAACACCGATGCGCTACTATTTCTCGACGCCTGGTAACTAATCACCTAGGTGCTAGCCGGTCACTATTGAGTGCGCAGATGCATGCCCGTATCGCAGTAGGCTTGACCCATGCCTTGAGAAAGAGCAATGGATGCAGACGCAGAGCAGAAGTCGTCCTCACCTCTGCCCAGAGAAGCCAGTTCAGCAATCCATGCCTACGTCTACTTTAGCTCAGTCGAGCCAGCGCTTCCGTCCTATATGAAAGCCAAATGGACGGCTTCCCTTGACGGCCTCCACATCTCATTAAAACTACGTCGAAGGAGCACCGCTCCGCGCAGAGCGGTCCTTTACCCACCCAGAAAGATAGGCAAACGCCCATTTCTTCATCCATTGAAGTCAATTCTCAGTGAGTGCGTGTGTGCTGCGTTGTGATTAACGTGTGGCCGACAGCAAAGACTTGAATTCCATGTAATGAATGGAAGAGCGCGGGAACACGTCGGTCTCGGATGTACCCTTTGCGCCAGCCACATATCTTCTGCAGCTCCTTTCTGATATGGCGTACAATCCCTCAACGCTGAGGACATGTTGGTTGCACAGACTTTGAACGAAGTCACGAAGCCTAGGAGGTTGCACGCGGTTGATCGGGAGGGCGATTTCATATCATCGGGCGCAACCAAAAATGCCAATGATAATCCATAGGTGGCGGCCAGCTCCACGCTGCTTCTTTCAACGAATCAACCCAAGCGTTTCCTCGCTTTTTCCTCATCCTCGGGCGTCAACACCTGTTTCTCCATAACGTCTTGAGCTCTCACAGCTCTTAGATAGCCAGCCTCATGCTAATAGGACATGATGGCAACCAATCTTTGTGCCTTGTTCCTAGGAAAACATCGTAAAGTTGTCGTTGGCGATTCTGAAACCCCGTCCGTGGCGCTTGATAAGATTTGGAGACGGAATCCCTTCGTATCGAACACTTGGACCAACGTCGATCCGACCTGGAGCTGCACCCATACGCAGGCAGATAGTAGTCGTGGACGGAGATCCTGCTGTGTTTCTGTCGGTGGACTTGTTGACGCGGGCGCTGCAAAAGTGCCAAACCCCGATAAGCGATAAGGTCTTTCTTGGCAGGTTTGCATTCCCCCGGCCAGAAATTTTTGGTTCAACTTCCCAGACTGCAGGTATCTAGACAACCACCGCTTGCACCAGCCGTCCGCCGCCACTCCTCTTGTCGTCCCTGTAGTTTTACGCCAGCTTGCTCTTGCCGAACAGGTCAACATGTCTTCGGATGAGATAGTGTGGCAGGTCATAAATCAGCAATTCTGCTCGTTCAAATTAAAGTAAGGCAAACGTGCACACAGTCGCATCGCAAAGGCGTTGGAAACTGACGCCCACCACCTGCAGACTCAGCAGCAAAGAACAAAACTTCTGTCGCAACGAATTCAATCTCACGGGCTTTTGCAATCGCCAATCCTGTCCCCTCGCCAATTCGCGCTATGCAACAGTTCGTCCGGACCCCGAAACTGGAGCGCTATGCCTCTTCATAAAGACTCCCGAACGCACACATCTGCCCTCGAAATGGTGGGAAAAGATCAACCTGCCAAACAATTACGAAAAGGCGCTTGCGGCCATTGATGATAAACTACAGTATTGGCCGAGATTCTACATTCACAAGTGTAAACAGCGTTTGACCCGGTTGACGCAAGTGCGCATTCGGCAGTCGAGGATCCTGAAAGAGGAGACCAGACTGGGTGAGAAGAATGTCAGTCGATTAGCGCCGAAGGTTAGGAGGAGAGAGGAGACAAGAGAACGGAAAGCGGAGAGTGCGGCTAAGGTGGAGAGGGAAATTGAGCGAGAGTTGATGGAGAGGTTAACAAGTGGCGCCTACGGCGACCGACCAATCAATATTGATGAGGGCTTGTGGAAGAAGGTGCTTCGCGGCTTGGAGAGGAAGGAGAGAGGTGATGAGTTGGCAAAGGAGGAGGAGTTGGAGGATGAAGCCGAGGAAGAAAGAGAGGCAGAGGTGGAGTACGTCTCTGATCTGGATGAAAGCGAAGATGAGTTGGAGAGAGAGATGGAAGACTTTGACGATTGGCTTGACGGAGAGTCTCCTGATGAAGATGATGAAGAGGCCGACAATGACGACGATACTGAGGAGTCCGATGGTGAGGACAAGAGCGCATCAAGTGATGAAGAGGAAGACATTGAAGCCGGCAAGAAGAGAAAACGGGTCGCAAAGCAACCTGCCAAGCCGCAGAAGAAGCCTCGTGGCCGTGTGGAGATCGAGTACGAGATGGAACAGCCTCTAAAGGAAGCGATATTGGCGTGAGCAGTCCTAGTTCTGGCCAGCATGAAGTCTCCAGGCACAGCGTGGCGTGGCTTTCGGTTTCACGAACAGGTATCCATGGATTTTGGAAGGATTTGGTAACCTCCAGCACAGTGACAGGAGTCCGTGCTTCAAATCGGATCCCGTCTTTATGGATTGGCTTGAGTGCTTGGGATATTGAAACAGCCACCAAAAAGCGAACAGCAAGCACCACGAAGAACTTCCTGCGGCGGACAAACCGAGCCGTCTGCATTGTCCCACTGCTCAGGCAGACGTGTGTGCACGTTGCCGGACCAGCACTAGGAACTCGGTGGTACAGTCTCCGCCACTGTTCTTTTTACTGCTTCCAAAGACACAGGCAAGGTGTACTGGTCAAGCCTTACGGCAGATACCCTTGATATACCTGAAGACCTGGGGTTCGCTCGCATCAGTATCATAGCCTAATCATATACCACGACAAGGAACAGACGTACTTCATGCCCTTTGAAGTCCCCCACGGTTGTTATTCTCCTTTCATCCCAGCCTCCCATCCCCAGAACGACCTTATCGAGCTTTCCATTCAGCCGACAGCCGCCCATGAATACAGGCCAGATCCAGTCTACCAGCCAGGCGTAGGATATGGTAATTATGTCCGTGCTGTTGTCAACGTGCTCAAAGAACAGGAACTCGCCACCAGGTTTCAGCAGAGCTTGAATCACAGCGACGGTCGCCGCAAGTTGCTTTTGCGGTGCCGAGCACAGAGACTTTACTGCCACGACCGTATCAAAGACACCTTCGTCTGGCAAACTTGAGGTGGTGCCAGAGATTAGGCCGGCTTCCTTCAGTGCTGGTAACAAACTCCCCGGCTGAGCACCTGCTTCCAAAGTCACCATCTTGCTTCCGAGACCATACTTCTCCGCAGCTTCACCCAATTTTCCGTGCAAGAATGCATTTGGTTCTGCGGCGTATAACACCTCAAGCTGTCCAGCCTTGTAATGAAACATCTGATCACCCGCTCCTGGGCCCAGTTCAAGGACCTTCCCATGTGCCCGAGAAAGGAGCTCTCCGATATGCTTGACCTGGACTTCGTTTGCCGCCATTTTGGGTCCTACGACCCGCCAGAAGTTCTCGAACCATTTCGACCGGAAGGATGATGGTGACACAAGGAGCAGGAAGGGATGGGAAAGGAGTGTTATCGGCAAGTAAAAGATTGAAATACTCAGGAGAAAGAGAGGTTCTGTGTAGGCTTGGAGCCTCACTAGGATGGAAGCACCCATCCTCGAGAGATTAAATTCGAATCCTCGGGGAGATGGTTGATGCGACGAAACACAAAGGAAAGAGTGACGACCAACGAGGACTCCAGTCTCGGACGGGGAGATTTATAGCTCAAGACCTTGTGATCATTTCCGCGCCCTAGTTGCAATACGAGGTCAAGCGATGGCTGGAGCTTCAAGCCAGCAAGCCCAGCTAGCGAACACGAACAGAGGTACTGTATAATACATATGCTGGCACGGCTGGCGAAGGACCAATGTGCCTGCGCTACCTCTATCTCCACGTGACGATAACGCAGACGTGGAGGGGCAGCGATGGGGGCGCCGCACGCCCAACTCCGTCATCGGCTTTGTGCCTGGTGCAATTTTCTGTCGCGCATTCAGTTGGAGAAATATTGCACAGATAGTTCGACTCACATCCGTCTTTGCTGTTACTATCAACTGGTCAAATACAAGAATCGGCTTCGAAACTACGAATATGACCTCTTTTATCACGACCATCCAGTCCAAGCTGGGCTACACATCCCAGAAAGCCCTTCTTCTTGGTGCCGGCTTTGTCACGAAACCCACGGTCGAGATCCTTGCAAACGCGGGCGTCGAGGTCACGGTCGGTCAGTGGACTCAACGGTACACCCAGGATACTTTGCTGACGGGACCCAGCTTGCCGGACACTTGAATCTGCAAAGAACTTGTCTGAGGGCATCAAGAACACGCGACCCATATCCCTCGATGTCAATGATGAGAAGGCCCTCGATGCAGAGATGGAAAAGGTGGATCTGGCAATTAGTCTGATCCCCTACACTTACCATGCTACTGTCATCAAGTCTGCCATCAGGAAGAAGAAGAATGTTGTCACCACCAGCTATGTCTCGCCGGCAATGCTGGAGCTGGAAGATCAAGTCAAGGAGGCTGGCATCACAGTCATGAACGAGATTGGCCTGGATCCTGGCATTGTAAGTCTTATCACTACGTATAATTGCAAGAGTCAGCTAACAACAGCAGGACCACCTATACGCCGTCAAGACCATCGAAGAAGTCCACAAGGCTGGCGGCAAGATTAAGTCCTTCCTCTCGTACTGCGGCGGCTTACCAGCACCGGAGGCCAGTGACAACCCATTGGGCTATAAATTCTCCTGGTCAAGTAGAGGTGTACTCTTGGCCCTCCGCAACAGCGCGAAGTTCTACCAGGATGGCTCTGTGAAGGAAATCCCGGGCCCGGAGCTGATGGCCAGCGCGAAACCGTACTTCATCTACCCTGGTTTCGCCTTTGTCGCATACCCGAACCGAGATTCTACCCCTTACCGAGAAAAGTACAACATCCCAGAAGCCGAGACTGTGATTCGTGGCACTCTGCGATATCAAGGATTTCCCGAGTTCGTGAAGGTGCTAGTCGACATTGGCTTCCTGTCCGAAGAAGAGCAGTCCTACCTCAAACCTTCCCCAGACAAGAAGCCTCTGACCTGGGCTGAAGCCACACAAAAGATCATTGGCGCCACGAGCAGCAAGGAATTCGACCTCGCTTGGGCTATCAGCTCCAAGACCAGCTTCAAGGACACACCCGAGAAAGACCGCATCCTTTCAGGAATCCGGTGGCTTGGCTTGTTCTCCGATACCCCCATCACACCGCGAGGCAACCCTCTGGACACCCTCTGTGCCACATTGGAGGAGAAGATGCAGTATGAAAAAGGCGAAAGAGATATGGTCATGCTGCAGCACAAGTTCGAGATTGAGAACAAGGATGGCAGCAAGGAGACGAGGACGAGTACACTGGTGGACTACGGTGATCCGAATGGCTACAGCTCCATGGCCAAGCTGGTCGGTGTGCCTTGCGGTCTGGCCTGTCTGATGGTGTTGGATGGCAGAATCAAGGAGCGAGGCGTATTGGCGCCACTGAAGTGGGATCTGGCGGAGCCGTTGCTGAACGAGCTTAAGGAGAAATACGGCATCTTCCTGACGGAGAAGACGATCGAGTAAGGGCTCAGCACCAGCGTGCTAAGCCGCACCGTCGCACCGCCGTTGCTGTGCTACAGGATCAAGTCTTGGGACAAAAGTCGTTTCTGAAAGTCTCGCATGAACAGCTGCACAATAGAAAAACTCCTGTGCAGAATCAGAGATAGATCAGAGGGCTCAGAAGATCTCGCGCCATCTGCAGTTCGGGCTGAACGGTTGCGCGGACTTCTTTGCTCCTCTCATGCTGCGGCTATCATAAAAACCTTGACGATCTTTTTGGAACTCAGTACAGGGTACCTTAGGAGACACTGTCAGCATCGCGTCTTCGGCGTAGGCCATGCTTTTAGGCGAACGGACGTACTCTCCAAACAGAGCTGTGAGGGGTATCAGAATACAAGCGTTACTTAGTAGATGTGTCAGAAGTTCTTCCTGATGTCATCCCCAACTCGAGGGGTCAGGCGCCGATAGTTTAAGGGTAGAATTCGAGCTTCCCATGCTCGAGGCCCGCGTTCGAGTCGCGGTCGGCGCATGATTTAGTTTTTGTTTTTGCTGTTTCGACATTCTTTCCTGTAGACTTCGTTTTCGACGCGTGCGGACGCAGGTCGAAATGGAATTGTACCAGCCGAGGCTGGGACGTGCACCACCACATACGACATGACGACTCGGGAAATAGGTCTTCTTCTGCCACGAATGGCACGGTACCCACCACCGCCACAGAGCGTCATGTTCCTCTGCATACGCAATACCAGGTAGGACTATTTGTTAAACAATACGGAGTACTGTTTACCTCATTACTGCATCTTGCCTAGTACGAGGTACGAGTACTGTGTCGGACGCCGGTCAAACCTCGACGACACCGTCGGGTATGCTCGCTCCACCTTGCAGGATCATGGTACGGTCCAGTATGGAATGGCGTAGAGCAGTCGCCTCAGTCTGCGATGAGATATGCACGGAACCCATTACTGTGTATTACACAGCGCGATCGAGCTTGTCGCAGACACTACCAGTTCAGGATGGCGCCGAACCTGATACCTCGCCATCTCGAGCTGGCGGTCCCACCTGCCTGAAGACATGGTGTTCTGCTCCCAAATGAGTGCGTGCGATGCATTTCTAGACTGGCGGTCAACTAGCTAAACCTTAGTGAAACGGGTGAGTCTCCAGGGGTCATCAGCCCGCTGGCCACCATTCCTTCGATGTCCTGGTACATCTTCCGAGGACATCTGGTGTTGCCTGATCTATACATCGAGTCTCTCGTGGTGAAACTGGCCCACCGTCCCAGCATCACGTTTCGGACCACGTGTAGTAGTGCACCTGTTGACGAGTCGGAGTTGTCGCGAGAAAGACCATACTAAGTACGAGTCATGCTGCCTTTGGCGGCGTGCAAGAGCCGTGTCGAAGTGTCGCGGCCATGGCCCATGATGGAAATTCCGACAGTCCACGTGATTGGCAGGGCCACGCTTGCTCGAGGGGCGCATGATTGGCCGGTGTGACTAGAACCTTCGCCGCCCTCCCCAGGCGCTGCGCAGGCGTCACCGTCACCATCCGCAATTGAACTTCCAGCACCAACCACGCCACTATTTCTACCCTCCTTTCCTACGCTCTTTTCCATTCCACAACAACCCTCCTCAGTCCCCCACTGCGCGTTATCGGCAGCGCCTCTCACCAAGATGGCATCCAATACCAAGTATCAGCCTGCTCCGCAGCGCGACTCGTTCGATGAACAGCACTACACCCAAGCCCCTCCCGGCTATCAGGCCGCCGGACCCAGCGATGTCGGCTACGGCACGCCCAGGGCTGAGGACGACAACGTCCCCGACGACTTCAAGGTACGTCTATATCCTTGTCGCGACAGGTATTGCAGTGCTAACGCTTCGCAGTTCGGCGGCTCCGTCTCGGAAGCGACCCTCGACATCCGCATGCAATTCATCCGCAAAGTCTACACCATCCTCACCGTCCAGATCCTTCTGACCGCCGGGTTATCTTCGCTCTCCTTCTTCTCTCTCAGTTACAGGACCTGGATTCAATCCAATAGCTGGATGATGTGGGTGTCGTTGTTCGGCGCCATCGGCTTCATGCTCCTCACATTCTGGAAACGCAAGTCCTACCCGACAAACATGCTCTTCCTGGCCGGTTTCACAGCACTGGAGGCATACAGTATCAGCGTCATCACATCCTTCTACGAGTCTCGCATTGTCATTGAAGCTCTGGTGATCACGCTTGGCATCTTCGTCTTCCTGACCCTGTTCGCCTGCCAGACCAAGTACGACTTCACCAGCTGGATGCCTTATCTCTTCGGCGCGCTGTGGATCCTGATCATCTTTGGATTCATGGCTGCTTTCTTCCCCCACAGCTCGACCATGGAGACCGTCTATGGCGCTGTTGCCGCGCTCATCTTCAGCGGTTATATTCTTGTGGACACCCAGTTGGTGATGAGACATTACCATGTCGAAGAGGAGATTGCGGCGAGCATCAGCCTGTATCTGGATGTTCTCAACCTGTTCTTGGCAATTTTGAGGATCTTGAACAGCCAGAACAACAACTAAGTCTGGTGGGTAGCTCGAAGGGGGTCAATGACGGTTTATTGATAGTTGGGGCCGAGAGGCAGGAGCTGAACAGTGTATGCCAGTTTTCGGCCCTGATGGACAAACACGCAAGCACCGCAATGAAGAAACAGGACGCATAGCTTTTGGATCCTGGCCTCCATTTAATCGTGGCGAAACGAGCTTATATAATTACTCTCAACCGCTGGTATCTGAAGGAGGCTGCGAAAGGACATGATATTAAGGCGCAAGAGCCTGGTGTTCCGGGTCCATTCTTCGTAGTGGTTATGGCTGCGAGCAGGAGGCAATATCAGGGTAAAGTATTTCTCAGACCACGACTCTAGCATGCAAACGATCCTTTCCAGAGTCAAGGGGTGGACAGGTGCGGTCAATCCGCTCAACCTGCTCTTGATACATGATAGGACCTTTTTCCCGGAACCTGTGTAAACGCGACGACGTGAGAGGCTGGTCGGTCGGTCGGTCGGAAATTGTCTAAATAGGACGTTTTAATGAGCTGATAATTTTGACTGTGCCCATAAACAAGCCTCGATCCGGAGTGATCGAGCCACGTAGGTACAGTAGGTACTGTAGGGGTACGCGTAACAGGATAAGGGTTTGCAATATATATATAGGCGACGAGATGAAGCTACAGTAAAGATTTAACCAACTTGAGTTCTGCTCAATGTGCCGGGCACGACGGCAGGTGGCTTTTTTTTGGGCCCCAAATATATAGAAAAGAACACAGGATACTGTACCTAGTATCATTGAGTAATATTCCAATCGTGATCCCAATCTCATTCCAGTCCCATGGCGCCATTCAGATAAAACTCGCAGATTTTCTCGCTCCCGATATTACCCCATGTTAGATACTCGCTCAATGTGCGACAATGAAGAAAGTGTTCGTGATCAAACATACAATCATGACGATGATGCCATATATCGCCAGCGCGAGACTCAGTCGCCGGAGTAGTCTCCGGCGGAAGTTCTTCGTCCGCTTCAACAGGCTCACCGCGGTTATGCTCAGGATGCCCGAGTTCGAAAGCAGGCCCTGCCCTTCGCCGTCTTGTTGATCGTCAGCGGCTCGGTCGTCGTCGGACTTGGTGCTTCCTGCGTCGTCGTTGCCGTGCCAATCATAGTCGTCTTCTTCCTTGATGAGCTTCTGATGCAGCGGAGAGTCGGGCGAGGAGATCTTGTAGTAAAACAGGCCAGGCAGAATAAAGGATATGGACGTACTGCCGGTGGAGCCCACGTAGGCCAGCACGGCTTCAAGGCTGGACACGGTCATGGCCACGATATAGCTGAGGATGATGATCGCGGTGGTTATGGCTGCGAACCTTGCCTCGCCCATCTCCGTGTTTCGCTGTTGCCGGGCAGGGTGTAGTAAGGGGATGTTGCGCGGAGGGCTCGAATCGACTGAGCTCGGCGTGGCCGATGGGGTCAGCCTGGCCCTCAACTTGGCCGAAGGTCTCCATTTGAGGACCGCGTCGACACTGGCGCGGCACGGGTGGACCTGCAGCGGATAGGAGAACATGACCAGGACCACGATCATGGCTTGTCCGATCGTGGTGGACACCGATGGGGCATACTGAGCCACGATATTGCCTCCAATTTCGTTGCCGAAGGACAAATATCCTGTGATGGCAACCAGAATGTAGATCGAAGCCGCCGTGCCGTTCGAAGCCGTCAACACGGCTGTTGTGCGGAAATGGGAGTTGTCTTTGATTTCGTTGAGGATGCTAAACATATTTTGGTGGCAGGTGTAGGCAAAGACGATGACTGGGAAGGAAGAGAGAGCCGGTACAGCGCCGGCCCACTTGAAGATCCGCAGTGGTGTCTTATAGTGTCCATCAGGCAAAGTGTCGTGTGCCGCAAAATGGTAGACAACCAAGATAACCAGATAGCCGATTGATATCAGTGCGATGACCGACGTGTACTTCAGGGAGTCGAGCCGTCGTAGAAACGAGAACGGGATCACCACCAACATGAAAGCGGTGACCCAGAAGTGGCGATCGAACATAAAGGCGCCCAGGTCCTCTTCACGAGCGAATCCCCGAACCACGCCCGGCATCAGATCACCGATAATGATCAGATAGCTGACTCCCACCCCAAAGCATTTGACAGCAATCGCAGCATCGAAGATGACCGCCGCATTGGGGTATGTAATTTGCGACAAGGCGAAGAAGCTTGAAGATCCCCGTTCAAGATATCGGGCGCATCGTGTCTGTAGGTAGAGCCCGAAGCCGGCAGTAGCTCCTGCCCACAGTATGACTATTGTTCCCAGCAAGATGCCCATATGTGACATGGCAAGAGGCATGGCGAGGACGCCGGCGCCCACGATGGTATTGAGGAGGTTGATAACGCTGGAGATCCATGACGCTTGACCTGCGGTACCGATAAGGTCACGTTTGCTGAGAGTCGGTGTCCCTGGCCGCCTAGAATCTATAAGCATACTGCCGTTCTCTTGTGATCACCAAGGAGAACATACCGCCGAGCGCGAGACTGTGACCTACTCGAGGACGCTGGTACGGGTAATGACATGGTGGCTGGGAATGAGGCAAGGCGCAATCAGGTCGGCCTTTCTAACGTCCTCATGTCTTGTAGGACTCGAATAAATGGTGGCAATATACCGCGTATGAATGTCGTAGCACGTACCGGGGGTAAGAGGGGAATTAACTGTAAAGCAGTCGCACAATGTCGAGTTGAAGCGGAAGTGAAGCGGAGGTGAATTGTATCACGCAAGTCCAGTCGGAGATGACAGCAGACAAGCGCGGAGTACGGAAAAGAATTTCTCCGGACGGGAAAACCCAGGTCACGTGTGAGCTCTTCTCACGCTGCCATGCCAGACGAGCGCGTGCAATACACTTCGCATCTCAAATGCTCTCGTCACATTTCTGTTGCCTGATCATTTGCATCATAGGCGTAAGCAGAGTGTCTCCCCAGCAAGCACCTTCCTACGCAGAAACACGGAAACGCTCGCCCATGACCAACTCAGGTATCAACCGACCAATCCTAGAAACCATGATCCCCATTCACGCGAACAGACTGCTCAGACTTTCCTATCCTTCCTACGAACTATGTACCTTTCGATTTTCGTCGCACGTAGCTCGGCACAGGCTCATCCGCTTGGAGCTTGTGCGGCCACCCACTCTGCGAATTCGTCCTGGTTCCTGGTCTGAATATAAATCCTCCCTGGGCCTGTGAATCTGCACACGAGTCCCTCCCCGGTCTTTATGCTATGCATCTTTGAATTGCCGGCCTTTTCGATTGTGTATCGACAGTTCCAGGCAACAAGGTGCCCATTGTCGACGATGTGTTGTTCATTCGCTTGGAGCTGTGAGTCTTGTCAGCGCGGTTCCCGAGCACATCCAGGGCGGCCGGGGCGCTTCAAGAAGCGCAAAATGTCGCGGGGTATCCGAGGTTGGACAGCACTTACATCTCGTGTCACTATGGCGCCGAACGAGTACACCCAAATCGTGCCTCTTCCACTGAGGCGGTACACGAACAAGTCCTCCCCACTGAACAGAGCCTTCCCAAGCCCTTGAGTCTTGTTTTCTCTGATGACTTCACCGGTGCACGCTAGGAAAGCGTCTTTGCCCAAATTCCATCCCTCGTCACCATTGATGGGGATGGCGGTGATGTCACCAAACAGTGTCGGAGCCAGCGACACTTCCCCTGGTCCAGTATACAACGATTCAGCCATCTCGCTACCAGTGAACATCTTCTTCATGCTGAACTTGATCTTCCCCTGGAGGACGATGCTCGGGGACATTTGAATCATGGCCCCAGGTTTGGATTTGATCACGACACCTTGTGGAATCCGGACATTCAACATCGAGTTTGTGTCGCGGTTTGTTATTGAGTAGGAGATGCCATCCACGCTCTGATGCCAGCTTGAATCAAGAGACACCGGCGGTCCTCCCTGAGAAGCATGGCGCTGGTGTGGGTATTGTGGTTGCTGCTGTTGGTATTGTTGCGACGGCTGTTGAACCGGATACTGGCTCTGGTCCTGGTAAGGGACTATCACACTTAGTCTTAGTGGTATGATGCTGAAGAGGTCCGACTCGCTTACCGTTCCCATATTGCTGCTGAGGGTAGTAGCCGCCTGGACCTTGGTTATACGCCATTTTGCGACCTAACTAGGAAAACCGGTTGGCGAAGGAAATTACAGAGAAAGCGTAGGAAAACTCGGGACAGTTTTAACTGCGACTTGTGAAGGAGATGCGCCGGTAGGACTCTCTGGGCGCGGCCGACCCTTGTGCTTATTATAGCCATGCATACTGGATCCTGCGACAGGAGGAGAAGTCATCTGGGCTGAAGCGATAGGTGTCTGCATTTTGATCCAAGTCAAGGCTGCCAATACTGGTCCTGGTTTCTCCGCTGGAACGGTCCCTGTCTCGGCCCCCAAAGAATTCCCGCCCTTCTCCCACGTATTGCAAGGGGCCATTGGCCGTCATCAGGAACGAATCCTTTTGAGGATATTCTGCGGAGGCTCATACAGATGCCCAACGCTTATTGGCTATGCAGAATCGAACCGCTCTCCCCATCGTTTAAAGGACACGTTCCGGGTTATACGACAGTGGACACGAAATGCTCGTCAGAATTTCGGGGCTTGTTGGCCAGTGCGAGGCTAACCCGACTTTGGCTTTCACAATAACCAAATCCGTCAGCTACTGGGTACTCGTACGAGTAGCTCGTAGCTGGGGCTTTGTGCGCTCTGGAAGCTCCACAGGTAAGCCCGAAATGTGGCGGATGATTCAGCATAACCGATCCACACTACGCATTCGCCAGCGACAGCGCGGGAAATCAGATCAACATCAACACGACTGAGGATCTGCAACGGCCCTTTACGTTCTGTCCCGGATGCGTTGTAGGGCGGCCCTATTGTTTCCGATGTATGTACAGAGGATATGTATTCGCCATCAGATGTGCAGACGGCAGGACCTGCCCACGATGCCAGGGGGCCAATTGCTGATCGAAGCATCAGAGCATTCACTCAGCCTCAAGTGGTGGCATTTACGAGAGACCAATCGCCTTCTACACACGCCACATGCTACACTGCTTATGTCCGTGGCATGACATACAGATTTTCCTTGCTCAATACTCACATTCGGCTTAACAACTTGCTATACCAGGTACTAGCTCATTTCGGTATTCCCAAATGTCCTCTGGCGAATTGGCATTGCAACCGCTAGTGCTCGTGCCACCATATGATCTCCAGACTCTGGCGCAGTGGCTTGGCGCTATCGCCGGTTAAGCTGGTTGAGAGGCCACGAAATTGTCGGACTGTTCCGTTGGTGGCTGAGGCCGGAGCAGCTTTTAGTCCTCTGTTTTGGACTGGTGCCACAGCGGGTCTGAAAGCCGCGTGTGTGAGGCTATAGCCGATCAAGATGACCTTTGGACCTGCATGGCTCCGTGTCAGCTCATGGTCAAATCTGGCAGCCCAGTGGCGCCCAATATGGGTTGCCTTCCTGCTTGCCAGATACAGATGAAGGACCGAAGGATGCAGCTTGCGAATCTGAAGAGTCCCGAGCTGAGGCTCTTGTGCCATACAGGTATGCTTCAGGGGCAACATCCCGTGTGTAATCTTCCGAGGCAGCATTCGTCGATATACTTTGATGGATCCCCGGATCCGAGGGCGAGACTATAAGGATTGTACTCTCCTGCTCCGGGCTTGTGTAGAGGTACCATCCCCCCTTACACTTATTGCAGGATGGTGTCGTCGATAGCCTTCAAGGCTCTCTGGGTACTTGCATTTGCTGCCACAGCGCGGTCACAGTCAAACACTACGGGAGCCACTCCCACGTTGGCGGACGAGCCCTGTGCCCAAGTCTCCGCCTTACAGAGCCAATATGCTGCCTCCAGTGGAACAGGTATGCATGCTTGTTACGGACGAGTTCCTACAACACGGCTTTTACTGACGTTGAAAAGTGACGGGGTTCCGAGTGTCCCCAGATCTCGCATATGCTTGTCAACAATCCGTTCCCTTGGTCAAAGAGGATACAATCTCTCTCCTAACTGGGCTCAAGGCTTGGGTGCAGTGGCAGAGTACTCTCGCCTGGTTAAAAGATCCACCCCGGGACTGGCCGTTTCCTCCTGTGGATTTGGCCAACGAACTGCAAAAGCTCGGCGATAAAGTGCAAGACGGAAGTATCACGAGCGAGATCGACTTTGAATGGCAGCTGGTGGACATCATAACTTCGGCTCGAGACGGTCATTTGACATTTGCCCCGGACGCCTACAGCGTCTTTGCATACTTCAACCCACTTGGGAGCCTCGTCTCTGTCTCGGCGGATGGCAAGCAGCTTCCGGATGTGTATCTGTATAGTGAGGGCTTTCTACGAACTCTATTTGAGCAGGTGACTGACGGAGACGAAGATGATCTTCAAAACAGCGCAGCGGAAGGCTGGAATCCGTCTCCTATTGTCAAAATCAACGGAACGGATGCGGTGACTTGGCTAAGTCAAAAGGCTTTCAACGAGACCATGACACACCAAGATTTGGATGCACTGTGGGTTGCCCGGCCGCCTCCCTTGCCGCTGTTAATCTTGCCCTAGGTACAACCGACTGTTCTTCTCCATCAATGCACCGCCCGATGGCTCCGGTTTCGGATACTTCTACGTACCAGCACTGCCACGGTTCTATGGCTCCTCGATCACTGTTGAATTCAAGAACGGAAGCGAAGTTTCTTCTCCACTCGAAGCGCTTCCGATCTACAACTTCTCGGGGGTTGTCGACGGCGAAAGCTTCTACCAGTCCTTCTGCAATGTGACGGCAAAGGCTATGGCGCAGGAAACGTCGTCTTCCGCTCCCGCTCCACAACCTTCGTCAACTGGAGCTCAAGACCCCAACAGTCTGCGACCGCAGTACCCATCACCGGTAGCGATCAGCAGCGACGCGTCGCTTGCTGGCTACTTCTTGGAAGATGAGCCCAGTGTGGCCGTATTGTCCGTCACGGGGATGTCTGAGACAGCCCAGTTCTCCGTACAGCAAAGCCTCGCCAAATTCTTGGACCAGTGCCGCGAGAAGAACAAGACGTATCTGATCGTGGATGTCAGTCAAAATGGTGGCGGCACTATTTTGGTTGCATACGACATCCTTAAGCAGTTGTTTCCGACAATCGAGCCCTATTTGGGTGCGCAGTTTCGTGCAAATGCCCAGGTATGTCAGGGGATAGAACGTGGGAAATAGACCTCACTGACTGGGCAATCTCCAGATCGACGTCCTCGGGACTTATTTCACTCCCCAGGCCCAGCAAGCCGAACGAGAGCAACCTGACAATGTCACTTTCGCCCGGTATGGTGGGGCATACTCACTATTCGACGCCAGTTCGGTTAGCAATGACAGTGGCCACGCTTTTGAAAGTTGGGATCAACTCTTTGGTCCCGTACAGGTGCACGGCGACGACTTCAGCCACCAGCTCCAGGTAAACATCTCGGATGCTACCAATGACGAGCAGAGTGGCTCCATTGTCGTCTCAGGCTACGCCAACAATTCCGCGATCCCCCCGCAGCCCTTCGAATCGCAAAATATCATCGTCTTCGGCGACGGGTTTTGTGGTTCGGCATGTACAATCTTGTTGCATATGCTCAAGTACCAGGGAAAGGTGGAATCCATCGTGGCTGGTGGTCGACCCCAGAACGGACCAGGACAGGCCATGGGTGGTGTCAAGGGCAGTAGAGTCGAGCCCTTTGCCGATGCCATACAATTCGTCGAGTTGTTCTATGAGGGAGCTCCCGCGGACATGATTGAGCAGGCGAACAAGACAGCATTGAAAGATCTGTGGGACAATGCACAGGTTCTGAAGCTTCGCAACGACGAGAACAATGGGCACGTTCAGGTCAACATCTTCAACGCAATTGCGCAGTACGATGACAGTCAGACTCCTCTCCAATTCGTCTACGAGGCAGCAGATTGCAGACTTTGGTATCAGCCTTCTCATTTGCTCGACATCACCTCGCTCTGGCGGACAGTTGCCGAACAAGCCTTCGCATTGAATGGGCAGGAGAAGTTCTCACTGTGTGTTCCGGGGAGTACAGGTCACCCGAGCAGCTTGAGCGGCAACCAGACTCTGTTTGATGATGGCCAGATCGTCAATGTCACCGGGTACAATCCTGACGGCAACGGAGGTGGTAGTGGCAACGGCGGAGATGGCTCTTCTGGCGAGGAGAATGGTTCAGCTGCTTCTTCCGTAGGCTTGTCAGGGATGTTACTGGTGACAGTCATGGGTCTAGTGACGCTGGCTGGCGAGGTCATTTTCTAGACCTCCAACTTCTTGTACTCTGTAGCAGAGGGATTCAATGTTGGAAAATGTTCTCCTTGATGACGGTACCCTCGTAAGAAAGCACTATTTACTCGCGCCATACATGTCCTGATCCCGGACCCGTTCTCCATGGTTTGTCACTTTATTGTCCGAAATGACTGGACTTTCTGGAAGTCCCCGTCGGGCTTCTCCCAGGCAAGGCAAAGGAGCATCTGCTCAGTTCCTCCTATCTGTAGTAAAATAAGGGTCGAAAGATATTCCACCAGGGCGAAAATGCTGGCATGAGATACGGCGACCATCTCCCCTCACCGTCACCCGGACCCTTCGATGATTTGCCATCGAGGCGTCCCCTGGTTGTCCCCGTGCACCAACGAGTACGGCTAACCTTACAGAATCTAGATGGGTTGTTCGTATGGTCTTGGTCAGGAAGCCTTCTGCACTTTCCCGACGTGGAGAACAACTTGAACTTGAAGAGGTGAGAGGTACATACGTCGTATTGCGCAGATTCCACTGTCTGTTTCCCCTTCAACGCCACTCATTTCTCGCTGACCGCCTCGAGTGACGCTTCTAATTCTAGGGTTCCGCCGAATAATTAATTGCATTACATCAACAGCCTTGAAAACCACTACCGTTATACCAACTCGACATCGTACTGTACAGACTACTTACATAGCAATCCAGCTGTTGGCTACTATAGCCTTCGTCTCCAACAAGCAGGTCAAGGAGATTTACGGCCTCGACACCACCCGCCTCAAATTAAAACTGTTTCTGATCAAGATTCAGGGCCGCGAACGACGGAAAACCGTTCAGCCTCGTCTGGAGCCCGGCGTTTACGGTACATACTATGTATGGACATTACGGTATTTGGCTTCCGTCAGGATCAACACAAGCCTGTCTCGCCACGAACAGCGGGTTACATAGAACGACGTTGTACCTATGTAGCATCTGTCCTCTTCAGGAGCAACAGCTCCCGAAGTAATACTGTGTCGAAGTTCCTATCCCTGCGGAAAATTCGATTCACAAAGAGCTAAGTCTTCAGCTTCACATTCTCATAGCCACAGCACGAGGAGCTATACATAGTGAGTGACTAACCCTCTAACGCCCGTCACAAGCACTGCCGGCACTGTAGCAAGCTTAGGCTTGGATTTTATGCTCTCGCTTAAAGACTTGAGGACCATTACGAAGGGCTGCAAGATCTCGTCCAAGAGATACTGTACGCACTCTACTACTATTATGTAAGTAGTAAGTACTGTAGACTGCACTGAGCAGGAACAACATCGGTGGCAACAATCCTACATTACCACCGCCTCCGTCGAAGAATGTACTACATTATATACAGTGTATACATAATGTACTACTCGTAGATATAACAAATATCCTGTAAGGGCTGGGAGACGTCCAACGACGTTAGATGCTTTCTAAAGCAGGAACGACCGGTAACGGCAGGCACGGCCGCTGTAAGGTCGCTCTTGCCTCGTACGGTCGAAACATTAAGTGAGCCTTGTAATTATACCTGGCATATTAAGAAGTACTAGTATTAACCTTCTAGATATATACTTTACTTTAATTGAGAAGTAAACTTCCTAATTAGGTAGAATTCGTACTACGTGTATATATACGAGTAGGATAAGTACTAGTAGTCTACTCAATTACTTTACTAAGTAAAGTGATACTAGCTTAATCTCAGTTTAACACCAGCTATAAACCCACGGACTGTAAGGGTGAGCGTAACTACTTATATGCAACGCGGTCCAGGCGACGGTGCTAAGCATGGTAGGCGCGATGCGATGTGATGCGACCATTTCTCAAGAGACCCAGATGAACCTGGAGACACCTTTTAGGACTGGACATGATAGCACAGTCTACTGTACTAAGTACATATACATAAGTTCTTACTGTCTAACCACAATATTATGTACATTCCAAGAACTTAACATGTCGTATTAAAGCTGCACTACCATGCATGCATGCTCTTGATGCTCTATACAGTACGCAAACTTGAGTAGAAGCGCATCCTTCTTTCAGCACAGCCCGTTAAAGGGCACAAGATCCTGTACAGTCTAAGCCGTATACCTATATACGTACCTCGATATCCGGTACGCTCGCTGGAGTAGAAATGTCCGCTGAACAAATGAGTGAGATGATACATTTGTGCACTGTATAGAGTACTATACTGATTCAGTAGTGCTATACTGGATCAGGCTTGTGCTGGTGACAAATGATAGGGACGACATTGATTTGAGTGTTGGGCAGTGTGCGTACAATTCACGACGCTGCACAAGGTGGTCTAGACCCCCGTACAACATTGAATCCAGGTCACCCCGTCCCTGTTGTGCCGCGTTGCGCTGTACACGGCGCGTTCCAACCAAAACGTCAACAGTGCAACAAACAATGAACGTGCTCGATTCGGGGGATACGATTCAAGGACTGGCACGCCGTGACTAAGTGTACATAGTATTGAGCGCCACGCAGCCACATGCAATTTTAGCGAACCAAGCTAGAAGACTCCAGGGCACGAAGGGATATGTCCTGTGTTCACGAGGGGCTCTGAGCAGTCCGTGTCTTGAAGTATAAACAAATGCTTTGATCAAGTTCAAGCTCTCGGAGGTGGGTTAGACTTTCCCGTTCCAGGAGGCGGTCGGCTATTTTGACGCGTTCAATGGGCTTTCAGGAGATTCGCAGGGCTCGGGCATCCCGCTTGGCGCCGCGGTTGATAAGCTGATACTGTAGCGAGCGACCTGCAGGTAGACCACCGCGCCCGTCTCTGTATTATACTACTGGGGTATATCAGTTTCATGCAGACGTGTGGTGCCGTTCTCTTCCACCTCTGTGCCTTCCCGTTCCCACGTGTGTTACGTAGCCTCCCGGAACCCTCCATCTCATGCACCTTCATCCACACGCGAGAGAAGTGAGTGGTTCGAGCGAGCGCGATGCATCGGGTGTGAAAGGACCAGTACTCTGTGCAGTACTGTGTATTCCGAAGCCGAGGGAAGCTGCCGCTTCGGTATACTGCTACTTACTGTACTTGTTAACCATCTACGTAGATAGTAAGTACCTAGCACGAACTCCGTGCGGACATACTGTAGTACTTGCTAGAGTAGTCTCCAGAAAGGGAGGAACTTGGAGCCACCACATACAAATTCGCAAGAGTCGACACCGCAAACATATCACGTAGCCATCAACCACCCCCTGACCAAGACGATCAGTACGGAGTACAGTACCTACATTACTCCGTACATGGCACTTATTGCGTCACCCCAGCCGCCAAGCTGCCCGAAGTTGACTCGGCAGACTGCTCCCTGAAAATAATGTACTAGAGCTGCCCAGAGGCATCAGCGGAAACGATGCTGTACAGTACACAGCCCCCGGGTGGTGTTTGCTTAACGAGCCGTTGAGTTGAGCCCAGCCTGCCGCTTTTCCCCCACGCTCACCGGACGCCATGCCCAGACGCAGCCCGTGGACGGAAGGGGTGCGATTATCGCCACGAGAAGGGAAAAACACGACAACACGCCCAGCACCCTGCACCTTGCACTCAGCACCCTGCACCTTGCACCCTGCACGCTGCACCCTGGACCCTGGACCCCTGGGCACTACGCGGCATGTACGGAGTACAGTATGTACATACTGTAAGCTACTGTACTTAGGTTCGAGCACCCGGTGCACAGGACAGGACTTAGGACTCCTAATACCTGCAGGCATTGCCGAAGTCGCTTGCTACCGGCATATGTTACTTGGAACATACAGTAGACGTCAGACTCCACCACCCGCCTCCCCTGGTGCGAGCATGCATATTCGAGTATGTACTTGTCAGTGCACTGTGCCAGAGAAGCGAAAGGAAGCGAGCCGTGAGGACCGTGAATACTGGAGGACGAGTATCTATCTCCAGTACTGTGCTCCGTACAGACATAGAGAGTGGACTTCGTATTCTTGACTTCCCTAGTCCCTGCTAGACATAGCTACTTTTCGTGACGACCCTTATGCTGTAGGCGTGTATGTGTGTGTGTGTGTGTGCTGGTGGCGGTGCCTGGTGTTGACATCTCTATTTAATAATGTACATCATCCACGGGACTAATCCATCGGTGCATATCATATCAGGCTTACCCCAAGTACTAACAGTACAGAACATAGTGCACATACACCATGCGAAGATTTCATTTCTGAGCGTGCTGGGTATTGTCCACCTACAGTGCATGCTGTGTGGTTGGTTGGCTAGCTAACATGTTGCACTTCCGTCCAAGACTTGCAAGGAATGTACGAGTAGCCTGCGCATACAAAGGCTCATGTGCATGTGCAGCATGCATATCCGAACAGGACGGAGTGATTGACAGGGGAATTCTCCGAGGGCAGGACCCGTCAGGATCCGTACAGAGTGCCTCAGGCATGCATGCATGCCTGCATGCAAACTCCGTATGTATGGCTCCTTCGTGCGTGCTGCTCAAGCATTGTCACTCTGATCACACCGCCTGTCGAGCTTCAGCTCTGTCGCATTCTGTTCTACTTGGAATTGTACCTGTCAAACATGTGCTGTGCAATGGTTGTTCAAACAGCAACGTGCGACGGACGTCCGTCTCAACCGAGAATCCTTTATGTCCAGAAACTTTTGGGTGAGCTTTTGTCACATCCGACGCAAAATACCCCGGTGCCTTTTGGTGAGCCTGTAAACACTGCCTTCTATCATTAACGCTATACAAAGCCGCTGTCCCACCGCGGGTCAGCGACTCATTTACATGCCCAGTTTTCGCTACCTGGTTGGGGAATCGAACAACCAATTTTCCAAGTAAATTCGTTCTTGCCGATCGAAGAAAGGTCTCATAAGTGATTCATAGTCGTTCATGGTGGTTTGCAAAGACCACCCAAATCATTAGTCGTGATAGAAGGTTTCGAAGAGGAACAGCTCGAACGAAGAGGCCGTTGGTGGCCGAAAATCTCGAGAAAAGTACAGTAATGCCAACGGCTTGGGTGGCCTGGTCGTTAATTTGTCGGGGTCGTAGGGAACAGCGAGTAAGAAACCCGAGTGTTGCGCCGAGGACGGGAAGTGCCTGTCGTCGCGCGTTTGCGGCCAATCTGCGGTTTCGAAAGGTCCACCGCGTCTGGAACCGAGGACTTTCTTTCAGGAATACTGGGAGTCTGTGACCTTGACGCTCCCAAAGCACATTGGCCAGTTGAAGACGTGGAAAAGCCGGACACAGGTGCAATGCCACCGAAGTCCGCCAGACCCTCTATCGACTTGCTGTGTTGACTATCTTCGCGGATTGTGTCTTGGCTGCCCTCCCGGATGTGCTTTTCCGATGCCGGCATGATAGAGAAGTCCTGGAGGTCCAGCTTGAGGTGCTCCGTAGACCCTGCAAAGCTACCACCAGCCAAGTGGGCGAAGTCAGATAAGCTTGTGCTTGAGTTCGACGACCTGTGAGTGCCAAAGATCGAGGCGATAAAGCTTTCTTGTGAGCTTGATTTGCTCATAACAGACGCTGGACTCCGCAGATCCCGAGAGCGATAGATTTCGTTCGAAGAGAAAGTGTTCTCTGCTTCGTGAGGCACACTGGCCACAAGTTCAGTAAAGGGAGCACTCGGAGGTGGCTGAGGGGAGTCGATTCCAAGTCCGAGAAGGGGAGATGATTGGTCTTCTGCTTGGTCAGACGACGGCGCAGGCTCATCCCGCAGAGGCTTGTTGGCCGCCTGCATCATCAAGGGAGTCGAAGCCGATGAAGACACTTCGTCAATAACGCCCTGTTCCACGACCAGATAGTTCTCCTGAGGGATGCGGAAGCTATTTGGCTGCCGAAGATCGGTAGGCGACATGCCCATGTCCTCTTCCGCTTCAAGCTCTGCGGCGTGCTCCCAAGAATAATCAATAGCGTCCTCCCAGCCCTCGATATCGATTGGCTTCACCCCAATGGAGATGCGGTTCTTGCACTTCCGGCGTGCTTCTTGTCCCGTGTTTCCGATTGTGGATGCACCCAGAGTACAGACCTTAGGTGGACTATCGTAAGAGATGACGTCGAACCGGATTTCTCCAGAAGACTGGCTTCTTCGCTTGAGCTGCCTCGGTGTCACCTCGGGCAGCACATGCAACGCCGTTGGTTGATGACATGAATGACCTGCTCGCAACGGGTCTCTTTCTTCCGGCGTCTCTTCTTCAACTACCTCCATCATGGCCTTCGGAGGCGAAGGCAACGGCGCAGTGCGCAGAGGAAGTGCAATGTCATCCCTGGTCGATACAGCGTGCACGACATGATCACCTGGCAGGTGTGGTAGTGGCTTTGCTAGAGCATTGGCTTGACTAACGGGACTCATGGCTGATAATCGCTGGCTCGTCGCCGTGGTTGGAGAAATGTCGAGGGCAGTCACAGACAGTCTCGTGGGACGGGAGAAGTTCTCCATTGACCGAGACAACCGGAAATCAGAAGGACTGTATGGTGACATCAAGCCGTCCTTTGGTGGTGGCCTTGGCCGCGTCGGTGTTGTTGGCAATAATGGGATGGCGTCGGTGGTCGGCGATGTTGGCTCCTCGAGTCCAATTTCGATATTTGCATCGTCCTTCTTGACAGGTAAGTCCGTGACCGGGATCCCGCGGATTTCGCTCTTAGGTTCTTGACCGGTCTGAAGGGCGTTGAACTCGGACGTCAAATCTGTTTTGCTAACCGAGTCCAGGCTTTGGAAGCGAGCTTGTTCACCATGGGTGACATGTTGAAAAGCAAAAGGCCCCGATATGCTTCGCTTGAGACCGGGCCCTGGAGACTGTCAGCACAAGCAGAACGATAGAAGAATGGAATGCTTACGCCTTGAGCTCAGAGTGGGCTGGCGTTGGAGGCCCCGAATCGGAGACAGCTCGCCAGCCCTCAACTCGGCAAGGTCATGCGACCGGTCTTCTAGCTGAGATGAAAGAAGATTGAGCTTGCTGCCCTGTCGCTTCAATATGCGGGTCCCTTTCGCTAACAGGGCCTTGGCGGTGTTTTCGTGGCGCTCTTGCAGCGGCATTCCGCCGTCCGCGAAGCTCTGCCGGGAGGAAGGTCGAGACGCCAAGTCGTTTGAAATGTCCGATAAAGAACGAGCAGAGATGGAGAAGGACGAAGTCACAGTGTCGGTCCGTGATCTTGCTCGTGGATTGGGAAAGATGTCGCTGCTGCCCGAGTCCAAGCTTGAACTCTCTTTCATCGAGTCGGTCAGTGATTGCCTTGACACCTCGCCATGTTCCTTGGAGGACGATTCATGGGCAGCCGTGTGCGCCTTGTCACCGGATTGCTTCGAGTGTCCCTGACTCCATGGGAAGCGACCCATTTGAGCTGTGCCTTGCTCCGTCCTTAACAGCTAGATTGAAGCAAGTAACCTGAGTCTGATTGTGTCATCAAAGCGAAGTCGGGCAGTGACCTTCCGGAGGCTGACGGGAGGTGTCGTAAGATTTGAAAACAACGAAGACTCTGGTGGGTTCCTTGAACGAGAGGAGAGGCGAGCGTGATGGTAGGGCAAACTTCAGGCTGTTCGAAAGCCGTTTCACGCTGTACCTCAGGTTAATTATATAGCCGTCACGTGAGGGAACTCGTTGGCTCAATCTTACCAACCGACAACATCTGAAGGGAGGCAGGTTCAAGTATGGCTCCCTTCGAAGTCCCCAATCTTGCCAAGAGTAAAGTTGGCGCCAGACGCCTGTAGGTGACCTTCTACCAAGGATATATCAGGCTGCTCCGTTTGCTGTAGTGGCAGGGAATCGACTGCTAATTCGGGCAGTTTTCCGATAGATACAACACGTGAAGGGCAAATGCAGCAGAGGGTTGCAGAAGCAAAGGTGGTCTGAAGAGCTTCAAGGCGTGCCGATGGCTGAAAACCAATCCGGAATGACAGAAGTACAAGTTGATGATATGCAATGTTTGGGAGGAGGTGAACCTGGATAAGAACAACTGGGGGAAAAGATATTATCTGAGCCCGACCATACCATTGGCATGTCATAACAAGGTGCTCCGTAGAGAGGTGGAGCCCGCATACTTTGCACAGCAGAGCGATCCTCGTCGTTCGCGGCATGAAGGCGTTCTTCATGGATGCAGGCAGTGAAGCCCGACTAGCAGGGGCTCAGTGGTCCAAACTGCCGGCGAGGCTTGATGACGGGATACCGGGGTGGAAAGCAACACCCTAGGCCACAGTGGTAATAGCTTGTCAGTGTTGGCTCTGGTGCAGACGCGACTGAGACCGACGGCCTGAGCAGTGCCCCCATCGTCGCGAAGCACAAAGCAGGGGCCGTGGGGATAGTTGCGTTATGGTGGAGGTGCGAAGGAGCAGGCGAAGGAGATTTGATGGGGCTGTTCGCGTCAGGAACAGGTGGGTCCTTGGACGGGACGCAGACGGACTCTGACTGGATCAAGCTGGCCGCAAAGGCGGAAGCCACCAGCCGGGACTTTACATAGTGCTGGGTATTCGGGGACTAGGGCCAGGTGAACGAGCGTTCTCGTAGTGCCGTGCTGGCGCATCGGCGTCGTGCTCCGGTGCCGAGATAGGCTAGCCCGTCTTGCCCGCCTCACCCGCCTCTTGTCATTTGTCCGTCTCTTGCTCAAAGCTCCCCCTTCGCCGCCATTGGGATATTGGCACGCGCAGCTGGAGGTGAAAGAAGGGCAGAATGGTCGTGATCAGGTGCTGATACTTTGGCCACAAGGCGACACATGGTCAGGAAGAGGTCAAGTTGTAGGAGAGGTGTATTCAGGAATCGGCTTCGAGGAGGCGTCTGCTGAGCAGCCGTTACAGATTACACCAAACCGGAATAGCCTGACTTTACCAAGGAGGAGACTGACTTTCCAGGCTCCCAGCTAGGGACGCCCTCCAAAGCGCGACCCCACGAGAAGAAACTCGGGACGATGTGACTGTACAAGGTACTGTGAGCTGGGTAGTCGCTTGGACCGGTGTCGGCGCCCTCACTGAGAACTTGTTTTTGATCGACATAGGTCCCAGTCAAACTCAGCATTTCAGACAATGGTCAGTCACGAGGAGCTACCACGCATACTCGGCCAGGACTACAAATCCTGAGGACCACATAAGTGAATGCCTTGGAGCATTGCGTTGGACTGCGCGAGCCTGTTGCTCTCGCGTGTGGGTAATGCTAAGCGACAGAGAAGTTTGCGCAACACGTCTCCATTCTCGACGCGGGAGGAGAGGCACCAGAGGGAAGAGACTCGGTCAGAAGATGGGTCGAAGCTTCTCTCGCTTGACGGCGACGGCGGTCGCACGCTAGACATGAAAGAAGAGCCGCGAAGAGCTTTTACGAGTACCGGCACGAAGGCACGGCGGAAGGTGTGTGAAGCGACCCGTCCGCGTCACCTTTGTTTGAGAAAATACTGGATCGGACAAATTTGTGCATAGATCTGCTGTCCGCTATGCCGTTTAGGGGAAGGCCGCGGGCTAGGCGGTGATAGCCCCTGCCCTCAGAAGCGCTAATGGCTGACGCAGTAGCGATAAACGAGTTAGTGCGGCGCTGACCAATTAGCGGCTTCGACTGCGTTCTCCCTGCATCTTGCACAAACGCGAGACCAATAGACGTTCGTTGTTCGTCGAGGTCTATACCGTGACAGTCCCACCATCAACTTCAAGGCTTCAACGGTGATCGTCAAAGCTGCTGTCACCCAGCCCGGTAACCTTTACGGCGGGTATCTACACGCGCCTCTTACATGATCCCTGTCAACAAAGTCTGTGCACCTGTGCCGGCCATCCCCAGAGCCACACCGCGGCTCTCAAGTGGCTGGTGAAGTAGTGGACACGTCGGAAATGATACTGATCCGCGTATATGTCAGGCAGCTTGACAGTGTGGACACTTTCACTCTCTCAGGGTGCCGCAGAGGACGATTACTCGGTGCCTTTGAATCATATTATTCATCAAACCCTCCTCGAGGCTGAACGAATCTTCCCCCAAGGTACGAGTCCGCGTAGAGATTTACCTCCTGACCCACTGCCTCGGACATCTGTGCTACGCGATTGATGCCGGAGATGGTGGTGATAAAAGACAATTTCGTGTTTCGAGTTATCTACCTCGTCGTGAAGACAGTGTCGATCACAAAGAAAGCAACGAGAACTACGATGGTTTGCGCTGCGACCCGTCGAGTCTCAACAGATGCTTCCTGGCAGTTGCTCCGGAGATTGTCGCGCCTAGTTGGGCAAAGTGTGATACTTGCCTCGCCGGATCTCGAGTTGAGGACCGTGTCCAAAGACAGTCGGGCCTCAGTTCATTTGAAGCCAAATCCTGATAGCCACGCAGCGCCCGAGAATCATCCCCCTTCACAACAGGCGTCCTCAGTAAGCGAGTCGAGATTCGCTTATCTCTTGCAACAAGGCCGCTCCATGTCTCTTTGGCATGTAGAACAGTACTTGGTAGTCAGGCGTGAAAGGATGAGCACTGTATCCCTCAAGTCACGTCGAGCAACAGCGTACTGTACATGGTCGCGGTGAGGAAACTGCGTCCTGAAAGGCCAGCGTCCAGCGCAGGGCAGACCGTCGCCCGATAGAACTCGAGGGGAGGTTCTCTCTTTGGATTTCGCTTCACAGTGTCATGTCCTGTGGTGTGGAAACCCATGTGCACTTGCGGTTGACCGAAGGTTGCCTGTGCTGATAGTGTCTCGTTACGCATCGTCGACGATTCTTGCTCTTGTGCAATTGACTCCGATATGACCTTTCTCGGTTATCTTGCTCGCTTGTGCTACATCTCCGGGATTATTTACACAATGGTCACTTACAATTCACCTGTTGATGACGCAAGTGAAGGATCAGTAGCAGACCGCCCACAGGTAGGTGGCAGGCTTCGGTAGCCATTATCACATGGCTGCTTGGAATTCCCATAGCACCTGTATTGTGTCGGTAACAATCACCTCCCACTCCGTAGATATGCGTGCAGAACGCCTCACTTCGTTGAGCTTGAACCCTGCATCAACTCGGATAATATATCAGTATGATAACCACTGGCAGCGCGGCTCGCTTCCAACTCCCAACAGCGCTCCTGCTTTCCTCTGAGATCCATTGATCAGGGATCTCCTTCCCGTTGGGCTTCCAGCACCCCGCCAGCCGCCAAGGAGGATGCTTCGGTGCCGGTGCTGAGGGCCCTTTAGGCTTCAAGGCAGGCAGCCTGCGCGCCGCACATGCCACCTAAACCTTGCGCTCCGCGCTCGGTCCAGGGTTGGCAGGGTCGGGCACCGCGCGCAGCAGAGTTTTGGGCCCTTGAACCCTGACGCCGGTGATGCTTTCTTAGCCTAAGTATCTCCGGGCCCCTCGTCCGGGCTCGAAGTTACACAGCACACGCTCGCGGACTGCAGGGTGCAAAGTCCATTTTACGGAAGCCAGGACTCAGACGAAGTGCACCGACCTTTGTAAAAAACCCCCTTTCGACGCGTCTGTAATAGCGCTTGCAGCTAGCGAACTCGCTCTGTCCAAGACATTGTCTTGATTCCGCAGCAATGTTCACTGCGTTGTGCTCAGCACGGAGTCAATAACCCACGGGCTCCAGCCACGAATGCGCTCATTCCACACACATGCGAGACGCGCAACCTTGCAAGCGGGACGCACAGTTTGGACCTTTCCCTCACCAAGTGCCCGCACCCAATCCCAGAAACTAAACTCTCCTACGGTGTACAGTTTGTCGAACCTGAGCCTTCGAGCTGGTCCTCACGTTTTCCGATGCCAATCCTGGCTGCTGTGTACCCAGTACAGGCCAGCCCCTCCCGTGGACCGAGTCCCTTGTCTTGGGGTCTCAGGGACTCACACTTGCCAATAATGCAGGAGATGGTATACAATACGCTGGTCAAAAGCGTCGGCAGACTCACGGACTTTCACATGGTCTGCCTTGCCAGGGCGATGTCCACACTGTGTCTCTCCCAGAGCCTCGCCTAAATGCGTTCAACCGTGGCCCTTGCAGGGTTCGCTATCGACGTCTCCATCTCGAAGCAACATTCTTCCACAATTCTCCGTCAGCGAAGCGATGCCCAGCTGCACGAAGAACGGCCCTGGGGCTCCGCAGAGTCGCAGGCATTTCTCAACTACCTATGTACTACAGGGATTGAAGAACCATCAGTCTCTGCCGACGTGATTCTCACCGTTCGAACCCGCCGATGATATTGCAGGGTGGTTTCATTCCTTGGAAGCTGCTGATTGGTGTTCCTGGCTGCTTTTTGCCCGTCAATCATGCCCCGGCGAGGCTCGTCGGTCTCCAGCACTGTCCCATAATGCTGCAGCAAGTGCTGACATTACGTTTCTTTATAGGTCCAAACGCACGTGTAACCCTTGCGGCCCCTGCAGTTAAGCACGTCTTTACGTAC